TCTAATCTTTTCATGAAATTGAAATTTGATGATTGTGAGTACCTATAAAATCAACAAAGGTAAAACTGTACAAAAATGAATCATTTCACAATTTTCTAAAGAAAGTATATCACTATTGAAAGGTTTATCTCTTAAGGAATCCAAAGAGTATCTCTCGAGAATATGTCTGTCTTAGAAGATATGTATCTGAAATACAATTATCATCTCTAGAAATGAAAGTAATTAACAGTAGTTTTAGGGCAGGACCATGATGTCTATACATTATGATGGGAACAAAACGAGGCCTACTTCACCATGGGGGGAAAAGGTTGGGTAGTTAAGAATGCAGCGCTGACTCCGGCAGATGCTACACTGTGTATTTGTATAGCCCTGCAGCTGTCTTCTCTCAGAGCCAGCTTCATTGACGTCAGAAGTCCGGATATTACTGGCAGTGATAGTGCAAGCCCCTCACACACTGCTGTAGCTGGCACTCCACCAATCTCTCGCTTCAGGAACTGGCAATTTGTCATAACCCATACCTGGAGGAGGGGGAGGGGCACTGTGTCATAACCCATACCTGGGGGAGGGGGAGGGGCACAGTGTCATAACTTATACCTTGGGGAGAGGGAGGCACAGTGTCATAACCCATACCTGGGGGAGAGGGGGGCACTGTGTCATAACCCATACCTGGGGAAGGGGAGAGGCATTTTGTCATAGCCCATACCTGGGGAGTAGGCACAGTGTCATAACCCATACCTGGGGAGAGGGGGGCACAGTGTCATAACCCATACCTGGGGAGAGGGGGGCACAGTGTCATAACCCATACCTTGGGAGAGAGGGGGCACTGTGTCATAACCTATACCTTGGGGAGAGGGAGGCACAGTGTCAAAACTAATACCTGGGGAAGAGGGGGCACAGTGTCAAAACCCATACCTGGGGCAGAGGGGGCACAGTGTATTAACTTATACCTGGGGGAGAGGCACTATGTCATAACCAATACCTTGGGGAGAGGAAGGGCAGTGTCATAACCCATACGTGGGGGAGGGGGGCACAGTGTCAAAACTTATACCTGGAGGAGAGGCACTATGTCATAACCCATACCTGGGGGAGAGGCACTATGTCATAACTCATACCTGGGGGAGAGGGAGGCACTATGTCATAACCCATACCTGGGAGAGAGGGGGGCATAGTGTCATAACCCATACCTGGAGGAGAGGCACTATGTCATAACCCATACCTGGGGGAGAGGCACTATGTCATAACCCATACCTGGGGGAGAGAGGGGGACACAGTGTCATAACCCATACCTTGGGGAGAGAAGGGGGCACAATGTCATAACCCATACCTGGAGGAGGGGGAGGGGCACAGTGTCATAACCCATACCTGGGGGAGAGGGGGACACAGTGTCATAACCCATACCTTGGGGAGAGAAGGGGGCACAATGTCATAACCCATACCTGGAAGAGGGGGAGGGGCACAGTGTCATAACCCATACCTGGGGGAGAGGGGGGCACTGTGTCGTAACACATACCTGTGGGAGAGAGGGGGCACAGTGTCATAACCCATACCTGGGGGAGAGGCACTATGTCATAACCCATAACTTGGGGAGAGAGGGGGGTAGAGTGTCATAACCTATACCAGGGGGAGAGAGGGCAGTGTCATAACTTATACCTGGGGGAGAGGAGGCACAGTGTCATAACCTATTCCTGGAGGAGAGGCACTATGTCATAACCATACTAGGGTTAGAGGGGGCACAGTGTCATAACAAAGACTTTGGTTAGAGCGGCAATGTCTCATAACCAATACATGGAGGAGGCAGTGAGGGGGCACAGTATCATTGGGGGGTTAAAGTTGGGGAGGGGAAGGATGGAATATGGTGCTAAACACATCCTGGACTAGGGGAAAGGGCAGTTGTGATAGTGTGTTACCTATATCCTGGATTAGAAGAAGGGAACAGATGTGATCGTGTGTTACCTATATCCTGGATTAGGAGAAGAGAACAGATGTGATAGTGTTACCCTGGATTAGGAGAAGGGAACAGATGTGATAGTGTGTTACCTATATCCTGGATTAGGAGAAGGGAACAGTTGTAATAGTGTGTTACCTATATCCTGGATTAGGAGAAGGGAACAGATGTGATAGTGTGTTTCCTATACCTGGATTAGGAGAAGGGAACAGATGTGATAGTGTTACCTACATCCTGGATTAGGAGAAGGGAACAGATGTGATAGTGTGTTACCTACATCCTGGATTAGGAAAAGGGAACAGATGTAATAATGTGTTACCTATACCTGGATTAGAAGGGAACAAATGTGATAGTGTGACCTATATCCTGGATTAGGAGAAGGGAACAGATGTGATAGTGTTACCCTGGATTAGGAGAAGGGAACAGATGTGATAGTGTGTTACTTATATCCTGGATTAGGAGAAGGGAACAGATGTGATAGTGTGTTACCTATACCTGGATTAGGAGAAGGGGACAGATGTGATCTGTGTTACCTATATCCTGGATTAGGAGAAGGGAACAGATGTGATAGTGTGTTACCTATATCCTGGATTAGGAGAAGGGAACAGATGTGATAGTGTTACCCTGGATTAGGAGAAGGGAACAGATGTGATAGTGTTACCCTGGATTAGGAGAAGGGGACAGATGTGATAGTGTGTTACCTATACCTGGATTAGGAGAAGGGGACAGATGTGATGTGTGTTACCTATATCCTGGATTAGGAGAAGGGAACAGATGTGATAGTGTGTTACCTATATCCTGGATTAGGAGAAGGGAACAGATATGATAGTGTTACCCTGGATTAGGAGAAGGGGACAGATGTGATAGTGTGTTACCTATACCTGGATTAGGAGAAGGGAACAGATGTGATAGTACGTTACCTACATCCTGGATTAGAAGAAGGAGCGGATGTGATATGGTGTTACCTACATCCTGGATTAGGAGAAGGGGCGGATGTGTTATGGTGTTACCTACATCTTGGATTAAGAGAAGGGGCGGATGTGATATGGTGTTACCCATACAAGGGTATCCAGATAACAGAGATTTTGATATTACAATTTCATAACCGAGCTGACTTTATAGTTTTGACAGCTCTTCAGTAGGTTAATAAATTTTTTCTGCGTTCTAATCTGGCAGTGCTCGCTGTTAATATTCGGAAGCTGATAGCACCTGAGAAGGAGCTCATTATCTGCCTGGTGATCATAAGATGAACTGTTCCTACAATACTGGTACTGCACTTTTAAACAGGAAACGGCACATCTTCTTAATCAGATGATTTGTGTTGGAGGGAAGATAGTGGGGTCTGGCTGCCTGCCCACACCTGTGTTTCCCCCTCCTCCTTCACACTACCTGTCAGCTTTAGTAGGTTCAACTCTACAGTGTTAGATTTAGGGGTCATCAAGACCATAACAATAAAAACTGTGTAATCTGACCACTAAGGTTTCCAACATCCTGCAAAATCCATAATAATCTATTACCTCTGTCCCAGGTAACTTCATAGCAGACCTGTGTATTCTGACAGGTTGTCCCAGGTAACTTCATAGCAGACCTGTGTATTCTGACAGGTTGTCCCAGGTAACTTCATAGCAGACCTGTGTATTCTGACAGGTTGTCCCAGGTAACTTCATAGCAGACCTGTGTATTCTGACAGGTTGTCCCAGGTAACTTCATAGCAGACCTGTGTATTCTGACAGGTTGTCCCAGGTAACTTCATAGCAGACCTGTGTATTCTGACAGGTTGTCCCATGTAACGTCATAGCAGACCTATGTATACTGACAGGTTGTCCCATGTAACTTCATAGCAGACCTGTGTATTCTGACTGAACGTACAAACTGTTAATGTTGTAATGTTTGCTTGAAACCCATTTACAGACCAAGGAGATGTACATTGTTGAAAGTGTCCAGAGTTGTAACACAAAACACACACTCCTGATCATCATGTGTCCTTGAATTGCCTGACATGATGACCCATCAGTGAAAAGCATTTTTGTGTCCTTAAATTGAAAAAAAAAAACTATCAGAAAAGATAACTTACCTTGTCAAGGTAAACTGTACATATTTTGGATAGGTTGTTTCTCTAAGTGACCCTTGTCATACTAAGCATATTTTTAAGGTCCTAAATACAAGTTAGTGCTTTATGTACAGTCAGTACAATATTAAGTAGAAGAACAATGTAATGATAAAATAAACAGAAGACTTCATATATCACCTACTTCACTGTAAAATCGATCATTTTTGTTGTAGATTTATTTTCATTGAATTGGAGTTTACACTAAATCCACCATTTTATATGTCCACAAAATGATAAACAGATTGAAATTGACAAGGATTACACGACTACTAGATTGTGTGATAAAGATTTATCAATGAAATCAAGTGTCAACGAAAATTAATATATTTGGAGGACCACAAAATTTTATTCTCACTAAAACATGTGATTTGACAGTAATTGTGAGTATATTGTTTTTATGAAAGAAAAGTTGGAACATTTATTTAATCTAAAACAAGTGTTAGTAATAATTTTCAATTTAATAACAGGAATTTTCTTTCAATTTTACCATTTAAACATTAGAAATGGATTTTAAATCATTGTTGAAATTTATACAGCCATGAATTGATAAACAGATTGAAGTTGGCATGGATTATAGTACTAGTGGATATTGTGAGCAAGATTTATCCACAAAATCGAGTGCCAACAGAAATGTATATTTGTGATAAACCATGAAATTTGTAGCCCACAAAAATAAATGATTTGACAGTAGTCATCAAATAAGGACACAATACATTTTCTGAATTCTTCATCCATATAAATCTAGAGGGAAAAAAACATGAGAACTATAACAGCTAAAACATGGTTGTGGTCATTGCATCAGTTGGGTACACATGTAAGGATTGTAAAACAGACCTCCGCCAGGGTTAAAAAGGGTAGATTTTGAACGAGTTAAAGAAATTCTTTAGACTGACTGGACTTACGGTAGCATACCATGTACACAGACTTTTTGTTTGTTACAGTTTTTGGATATTGGTCGAGTGACTAGTTTGGAAGCTAATCACAAACATGTAGATATTGCCAGGAAAGGAATGGAGGTGTGTATTAAGGTAGAACCACTTCCTAGTGACACCCCAAAGATGATTGGTCGACACTTTGATGAAACCGACATACTAGTGAGCAAGGTAAGTTTACAGTAGTGTTGTCCTATATAAACGCTGTTGCGGTAATATCAATCCTTTTGTACGAAAACAGGAAATGGTAATTGGTTACTCGTGCAGATATTACGTTTTTTGTTAATTCTTGAGATTTTTGAGATTTAAATGAAACTTTTCAGGTGTGTAAATCTGATCCCAGTTACATCATTGTCATGTGGTAGGTCAGACTTGTAAGCTCACCTGCCATAGCCCGCCCGTTGGCATACACTATGATGTAAGGCATCTGTCATCAACATTCTTATCCAGTCACTTTGGAAGTGGGTTTTTTTTTTTTTGGTTGGGGGGGGCATTATTGTTACCTGTCCTGTCCATCTTCTGTTGCATCCTATCCTGTCCCGTCCTGACGTTATTTTTTAATATTTAATAAATGACTTCATTATCTCAGAATACCTTTAATGACTTTTGTATTTCAGTGTCAAGGTCAATGTTACCGTTACTAATCCCTCCACACTAACATCAGCTTCTTCAGTTCAAAAAGGTTTTTACGTTAGATCATTTCAATTTCAGTGTCAAGGCAACTTGGGTTTTTGAGTGGTTTTTCTATTGAATACATCATGGACATCATTTATGATTTAAAGAAAATTGTTAAAATTTATAGGAAATTGTTTGAAAAAAGGATGATATTATTATATATGATTGAGGCCATTCATACCTTATTGACAATTTTGTTAGTTTTAGCCACCATCCCCTAACACCCTCACCCCCACTGGTTGGCAGTGTGTGTATGATTTAGAGGAACAGGGTAAATGTTGTGTTGTTCAATGATGATGAAAACTTCTTGGCTTCTGTCCACATCATTTCTAAATCCTGCATTCACTTTGATAGAAATATCTCAAGTTGGGAAAATGTAAATATTAATTGATAACGATAATTATATTGGTTAAAATCTTTCATTTTTTTAAAATGAAGTTTAATTAAATTATACCCTGCAAGAAGAGGCTGCAAATCCCACAGTCCACTCAACAGAACTCCACTCTCACATCTGTGCATTTGATAATGTCAAAACCCTGCAGTCATGTTTTCAGGACACCAATAACTAAGGCTGGCAACCACAGAAACAACAAGTTAGGAATCCCTTTCCCTATAGGCCCCTATATCCACCCCCATTTCCCAGTGGTACCCAGTATCCCACCCCTATCCCTGTTGGGCCCTATATCCACCCCCATGTCCCAGTGGTACCCAGTATCCCACCCCTATCCCTGTTGGACCCTATATCCCAACCCCTGTCCCTGTGGGATGCTATATCCCATCCCTTGTTCCATTGGTACCATGTATCCCAACCTTAATCCCTGTTGAATCCTGTACCCCACTATCAATCCTGATATGATCATGTACCCACCCCCTGGAGTTTAAGAAGCCCTTATGATCCTCTGGGGTTGCAAGGTACCTTTGGTAATTCCAGGTAGTGGAACCACCTAGGACTGTCGTTGAGCTGTCTGCTGTAATAAGTGATTTCGGGTGACAACAATTATCGACTACATTCTCTGTATGTTTGTGTTCCCATGTAGTGACAGTGATTACTTCACTACAGTATCACACTGAACAGGAGAGACTAGAACAGAAGAACAGGGTGCCTCTTGGCTTTAGTAACTATGGTATGCTAGCGTTGGCATTAGTTGTCCAACTCTCTGCTTTTTGGTTCAACATGTCCAGAGTATAAGTGTGCATCAGTTTCATTTTACAAATTAATGTGTCAATCTAATTCCTCCTAGACAATTTCTTCTTTAGAACCATGGATCTGAGAGTTATGACCTAGATTAATTTTGTGAAGATCTATCAATATTCACAGTGGACTTAACTAAACTCTCAGTAATGGACATAAGAGGCAAAAGATTTGTTTTTTAAGACTTGAGAATGTTACTGGGGTAAGGATTTAAAAGATTTCTTCTAAACTGACTTTTATCAGACATGTAATGACTTATTGACACATGGTAAAGTTCTCATACTACTCCTAGTGAACCAAAAACACTTGTGTATGATAAGGTCATTTGATAAAGTGATTAATTACCAAATTCATCCACAACAATCAAATATGTTGTAATGTTAAAAAACATCTGGAACAGGAACCAGAAATATTAGGCCTGTGTTTTTTTGGAATATTTCCTTAGTTATTTGACCTCGGCTAATCATCATAAATTATTTTTGTTTAATGTATTTAAATATTAAAACCAGCTTCAAGTTAAATTTTGCTATAATTGGTTGCTGTGATGAATGGCTGTCAAGACCCACACCAACAGGAAGTAGTTAACTAAATGAAATTGTCATCATTTGTACTTAGGTAGAGCTATTAAGTGTGTTTAATAAATAATTGTTCTCAACATTCATTTTGAGAGAAATCATTTTTCATAAACTTCTTCTCAAAAACCTACAAGATATGGAGTCATTATCTTTCTGAGATACTTTAAATGTTATTAAATTAATTAAATTTGGCAGAGAGTCAAGGTCTAGATTACTGCCATAACTTGCTATTGAAGAAGTAACTGAATGTGTTTTAGCCTTGTGGACTCTCAGGTCTAGATTTCTGATGCTGTGTACAGAGGTCAAACTCGGGATGATTTCTTATGGCTTTCGAAATGATATATGCATGCATTTTGTCATCACCATCAAATAACCGGTAATACAGGTCTTTTGGGCCTCATGTTCACGTTTAGTATACCTGGTAACTAATGAATCACCTGTACTTGGCAAGTCAACAACAATTTAAGCACAGATGAGCAAAAATTGTTATCTTGATGAAGTGTATGATTTTGAAGAAATAGTCTGTTTTTATTTACAAATAACATTGGGGTTATATGTTAGTGTTAGAGAAATTATCACATACATCTTCTGATCCACAAAATGATTTCCACACACACACAAAAAAAAGTTAGGAGCAACGATGACAAGATAAGGACAACAGAAATTCTGAGGTATTTACACTGTTGATGAAAACTGCACCTGAAACGAGTCGGTTAAGCTCGGCCTACGATTCAATTAGACAAGGAAAACATTCACTTTGGTTGTTTGTTGATCCCAAGGAGCTGTGGGTTGATGTTGTCGTGGTTGTCTACTGAGGTTGAGTAGGAGTGTTAATATGTGTAATCGTGTAAACTCAGGACAAGGTGGCCTCAGGTCAGGTCATACATATCTACGCACCAATTCACCTGTCTTCTCATCACAGCTGTCAGCAAACAATATTTATTTCCTATAAAATTTTACACATATCAAAACAATTCTTAAAAAAATCATTACTACAAGCAATATAAAAAAACAATGTTGTACAGCAAGTTTAGACTAGCAGTTGAAGAATATAGGTCTGATCCTCATTAATGTCACCATTGTTTGGGGTAGAGAACCACTCAGTATGTAAACATCTTAAAACACCCGGACATAGAAAGTCCATTGGTGGACATTTAGTGATAGTGACTTAAGATTGGATTCAGTTCTGTTTACTTAAACCTGGCGACTGATATACAGTGGGAAACAACTCCGTCTTTTAAACTCTTTTTTCAGGTTATTCATTTTTTATTAATAACAATAATATGAATATAAAATTCTGTTCAAATTAAATTTCCCATTGACATAGTTATGTTTTTTTCCATTCGTACTTATTATACTTGGTTTTCAATATATAGATACTATCTCTGTCAGATCATAGTAGATAAATTTACAAATTCTTTTGTGCTATCAGCCAATAATATAATTTATGAGCAGTTACGACATATATTTACTACATGGAATAGTGAACTCAGGTTCAATGTGAACAACATCTAAGAAATTCCTTCTGGGTTTGCACCCAATCACCCCGCTAAATCACCTGTACTTTTGAAGGTTTTATGTGTCAGAAGATGCCCTGCTGTGATTTGCTCAATTCTATGACAAAACAATGTAAACACAGATGATTAAAATACAAAAGTACTTGATGAAGAGAAGAATTTTTATTATCCAGATCAACCTACTTCTAACTTTGTATTCATCACAACAGGTTATGAAGCTTGATATTTCTTCATCTTAGTATTTGCAATCACAATACTGATCACAAAATACGACATACAGGTAAGCTGGCGAGATAAGAACAAGGAATTCTTAATTTTTTTCTTGGCTGAAACTATGAAACTGCCCTAAAAATCTTTTGGAAAGGTGATAACCAGTCTAGGCTTTGACTAAAAACACTAAAGACTAAAATACTTTTGTTATAAAACCAGTTTCAGTCTTGTTCAGTGGATATGACCACAAGTTAAGGCCTTATGCAGTTCAGCACTTTAAAACATTCAGATACAGCTGTTTGGGTTAAACTAAATTTATTTCTGACACAAATAAAATACTGTTGCTTAAGAGTACATGGAGTCTGAAATATGAAGGGAGGTATAGAATAAAAGATCACAACCTTTTAAAGGGAGATAACACAGCAAAGGGAGATAACACAGTAAAGGAAAATAACGCCTATTGATTATTGCATTTGTTTTCTCCTCCCACATTATTAGCCCACCATCATCAGATGGTGGACTATTCAAATCGCTTTGTGTCCGTGGTCTGTCGTCCATGCATACATAAACAATTTTTGTTATTGCTATTTCTTGAGAAGCGCTGGATGGATCTTTCTCAAAGTTCATATGTAGGTTCCCCTTGGTCCCTAGTTCTCATTTGATTTTGGGACTGATCAAAAAACAAAATGGCCGCCAGGCAGCCATCTTTGTTTTTTTCAGTGAAGATTGATATCGCTATTTCTTGAAGATTGAGGGATGGATAACTCTCAAGGTTCATATTTTGGGACTGATCAGAAAAACAAAATGGCCGACAGCCAGCCATCATGTATTTTAACTTTGAAAGATTGCTATTGCTATTTCCAGAGGAGTACTTGATGGATCTTTCTCAAATTTTGTATGTAGGTTCCCCTTGGTCCCTAGCTGTGCCTTTCTAATTTTGGGACTGGTCAGTTAAACGAAACGGCTGACAGACAGCCATCTTGGATTTTGATTTGAAAGTTTGTAATCACTATTTCTTGAGAAGTGCTGTATAGATCTTTCTTAAATTTTCTTAAAAGTTCTTTAGGTCCTTAATTGTGCCTGTTTGAGTTTCAGACTGATCACAAAACAAAATGGCTGACAGGCAGCCATTTTGGATTATTCCAAGAAAAGATTGTTATTGCAATTTCTTAAGTACTGAATGGATATCAAATTTCATACATATGTTTCCTTTGGCCTCTCATTGTGCTCATTTGCTTTTGGGACTGATCAGGTGGCCATTTTGGATTTGGCAGGTAAAGATAATCATCGCTACTTTTGCAAAGGAATATTGAAATGTCTTATCATAAAAAGCAAAAACAGAGAAGAGAAAAGAAAGGAATATTTTTAGATAATCTCTTTTAAAATGTACACATAAATCAGAATAAGTAAATGCAAAATGCTACTTCTTCTGGTTTTGTGTTCAATATAAATTCCAAGTAAAAAAAAAGAAAACAAAAGAAAAGCAATCTCAGTGACATTCTCATGTCAAGATTATGATCCATATAACATTCCAAAGTGAAGGTTATGATCTCAGCAACATTCTAAGGTCAATGTTGTGACCTCAGCAACACCCTAAGGTCAAGGTTATTATCTCGGGAACATTCTAAAGTCAAGGTTATGATCCCTGTAACATTCTAGGGCCAGGGACAAAAATCACTATCATTCTTAAGTCAAGACTGAGAACTCAACAATATGCTAAGGTCAAGGTCATGACATCTAACATTCTATGGTAAAGGACAAATCTCTGTTATTCTAATGCCAAGGTTATAATCTCAGCAACATTCTAAGGTCAAGCAAGGTTATGATCTCAGCAACATCCTAAGGTCAAGGTTATGATCTCAGCAATATCCAAAAGTCAAAGTTACGATCTCAGCAACATCCTAAGGTCAAGGTTATGATCTCAGCAACATCCTAAGGTCAAAGTTATGATCTCAGCAATATCCAAAGGTCAAGGTTATGATTCCATGGACATCCTGAGGTCAAGGTTATGATCTCAGCAACATCCTGAGGTCAAGGTTATTATCTCAGCAAAAACTAAGGTCAAAGTTATGATCTCAGCAACATCCAAAGGTCAAGGTTATGATCCCATGAACATCCTGAGGTCAAGGTTATGATCTCAGCAATATCCAAAAGTCAAGGTTATGATTTAAGCAATATCCAAAGGTCAAGGTTTTGATCTCAGCAACATCCTAAGGTCAAGGTTATGATCTCAGCAACATCCTAAGGTCAAGGTTATTGTCTCAGCAGCATTCTGTTCATACAACATAGAAGGTTAAAATTATTCTGCTATGATTTATCAAGAACAGGATTTTTTTTCGCCTGTGTTAGATTTAGGTTCTCTATAATGTATATTACCTGTGTGGTGGGTCACCAGGAAATACACATATGTAAATGGCTTCTAATAATGTTCTAAATGTTTTAATTAGAGATGAAATCATAATTATAATTTGCTGATTTGCATTTTGTTTAAGTTTCCTGAAAGGCTTTTCAAATTATATTACATAATTACATAAGAAAGCTAGATTTTCTATAGTGTTGATTGATTGTCACCACCATCCCCACTATGAAATGGCAGAGACATATAGTGTTGTTCATACCCATTATAATTTAATTTCTGCTCATTTACTGTTTTAAAAGATGGAGATATGTAACTGTATGTAGTTGTGTAATGATAGAATTCAGAAATTATATAGCACAAGGTTTTTCACAGGTTATACATAATGTACTAAGGTCTACCATCAGTGAGTATTGATGACTGGGTCAGCCTGTTATCAGGTGTCACCAACATACCTGTTTATCATTACACATACCTGTCATATCTTCTTGATGTATTGGCCCCGTGTCGGGGATTATCCAACCACAAAAGATAATCCCTGCTGTCATGTCCCTGTCATTGGGGTCAGTCCAGACTCCCCGGGGGTTGGGGGCAAGATCTGGCACAGATTACTGTGATAGATTGATCCCAGTCTGTCTACAAAGAAGGAATTTTAGTGGGGCCCTTGTGAGTAAACTTCACATCTGTTGCAACTACAGAGATATTCAACTGGAAATGTTTCATATCTCAAATTTATGTTTATAACTTTGGCCAATTTTATCTGGTCTTAAAAAAACTGAGGGTGCTGACATTGTCATCAAAGTGTCACCTGGTACGTCAGTCCAGTTGTAGTAGTCACCAAAGTGTCACCTGGTACGTCAGTCCAGTTGTAGTAGTCACCAAAGTGTCACCTGGTACGTCAGTCCAGTTGTAGTAGTCACCAAAGTGTCACCTGGTACGTCAGTCCAGTTGTTGTGATCACCAAAGTGTCACCTGGTACGTCAGTCCAGTTGTGGTACGTCAGTCCAGTTGTTGTAATCACCAAAGTGTCACCTGGTACGTCAGTCCAGTTGTAGTAGTCACCAAAGTGTCACCTGGTACGTCAGTCCAGTTGTAGTAGTCGCCAAAGTGTCACCTGGTAAGTCAGTCCACTTGTAGTAGTCGCCAAAGTGTCACCTGGTATGTCAATCCAGTTGTCCTAATCACTAAAGTGTCACCTGGTACGTCAGTCCAGTTGTAGTAGTACTAGTCACCTAAATGCCTTCTTGTTTCTGAGAGGCTAAGGCCACACTAGTAAGAGCAGAAATAATTTTGAGTGTTTTTTTTAATTCATTAGGAATCTTGTCACTTACATTAAATGGGAGTCAATGTCCTGAAATAAGCCCATCCACTAACATTAAATGAGAGGTCAATGTCGTGAAATAAGCCCACCCACTAACATTAAATGAGAGGTCAATGTCGTGAAATAAGTCCACCCACTAACATTAAATGAGAGGTCAATGTCCTGTAATAAGCCCACCCACTAACATTAAATGAGAGGTCAATGTCCTGTAATAAGCCCACCCACTAACATTAAATGAGAGGTCTCGTAATAAGCCCACCCACTAACATTAAATGAGAGGTCAATGTCGTGAAATAAGCCCACCCACTAGCATTAAATGAGAGATCAATGTCGTGAAATAAGCCCACCCACTAGCATTAAATGAGAGATCAATGTCCTGTAATAAGCCCACCCACTAACATTAAATGAGAGGTCAATGTCCTGTAATAAGCCCACCCACTAACATTAAATGAGAGGTCAATGTCGTGAAATAAGCCCACCCACTAGCATTAAATGAGAGGTCAATGTCGTGAAATAAGCCCACCCACTAACATTAAATGAGAGGTCAATGTCGTGAAATAAGCCCACCCACTAGCATTAAATGAGAGGTCAATGTCCTGTAATAAGCCCACCCACTAACATTAAATGAGAGGTCAATGTCGTGAAATAAGCCCACCCACTAACATTAAATGAGAGGTCAATGTCCTGTAATAAGCCCACCCACTAACATTAAATGAGAGGTCAATGTCGTGAAATAAGCCCACCCACTAACATTAAATGAGAGGTCAATGTCGTGAAATAAGCCCACCCACTAGCATTAAATGAGAGATCAATGTCGTGAAATAAGCCCACCCACTAGCATTAAATGAGAGATCAATGTCCTGTAATAAGCCCACCCACTAACATTAAATGAGAGGTCAATGTCCTGTAATAAGCCCACCCACTAACATTAAATGAGAGGTCAATGTCGTGAAATAAGCCCACCCACTAGCATTAAATGAGAGGTCAATGTCGTGAAATAAGCCCACCCACTAACATTAAATGAGAGGTCAATGTCGTGAAATAAGCCCACCCACTAGCATTAAATGAGAGGTCAATGTCCTGTAATAAGCCCACCCACTAACATTAAATGAGAGGTCAATGTCGTGAAATAAGCCCACCCACTAACATTAAATGAGAGGTCAATGTCCTGTAATAAGCCCACCCACTAACATTAAATGAGAGGTCAATGTCGTGAAATAAGCCCACCCACTAACATTAAATGAGAGGTCAATGTCCTGTAATAAGCCCACCCACTAACATTAAATGATAGGTCAATGTCCTCAAATAAGCCCACCCACTAACTACACAATATTTTGTTGTTTTCCCAGTGTATCAACTGTGTTAGCTATCAATGTGTGTATGGTTTCTGTATTTACAGATTTCCAGGAACTCGATAGATGCTGTAAAAAATTACTTCCGTGAGGACATGTTGAAACAGGACTGGCAACTCATGGTCGAACTCAAAAAAAGATTCGAAATTTTATGAAATCCCAGGATATCTGCATACATGGTTTGGATGAAAGACGAAATAAAGGAAGCAGTTTGGAATTACAGATTGGTGCTTGGTCCTCAAAATATATGATCTGACCGCTGGAAAGTTTTATGAAATATTTCCAAGCTTATGAGCATGCTTTGTTCTAGTTGCTGACCAATGGAGAATATGCAAAAGGCATGACAAAAATCCAGAGATTATATAGGGGAATGGCATGGTATTGATGATTTAAGAAGTAAAACCTTGATGTAAAGAATCAATTCACAAATCTGTTGTGCCTTTACCTCTGGGAGGTATTGTCATATAGATGTTGGTCAGAAGACTTATTGTAAATTTGTCTGAAAATTCTATCATTAAACAAGTATATTTGTCCCATGTATATTTTTGCTGATGGACACAAAATTGGTATCGTTAGTGCTAAGAGACTTTGTAATGATAGAGTATCAGAAACTTAATGATCAACTGGTAACATGTCATCACTGTAATCATGATGGCATTCAAATTTGTATTATCTTACTATAATGGTATAAATCTAATAAAACATCAAGGTTTGCTGTTAGCATATTTCATTTGCAAATTAACGCATGGGATCACACAAATGGTAGAGATAGTTGTAATCTAATGTTGCATTTAGTAACTTCATGGAAGTTTATACTGTTGATCTTAGGTAAGAAAAGTGAATTTCCATGTTTCCTGGTCCTTGGGCAAATCTCTGTTATCATATCAACACATTGCTATTGTTGCAAGGCAATAAAGGTGAAACTCTTTTGAAGGGAGGTAACTCATAAGGCAATGAAATGTCACATTATCTGTAACAGGGATTGTAAAACTTGAATTTATGTTTGTGGTTAAATGTCGAACTGTTACAGTTTTAACCTGTGCTGGAGACAAAGTTATTGACCAGTAATAGTACAAAAACTGGTAATGGCTGAATTGCTGAAAAAACAGGGAAATTGATATCATGTTGTAATGTCAGACATATCTTCTAGATTTTTTTAGTCCATTTGGAAGTCTTCAGTTTCATAACAAATTCACCACTGAGTGGGAATGCTGAGATTTGTTAAAATAATGTTTGGCATGTTTTTCAGAATGCTTCGTAAATAAAGTTAATTTGATCCTACAGAATGTTTCTGTGAGAAGTGTCAGATCTTTTATAGCACCTGATGTGATAAAGTGGGATGATTTAAGGCTATATGGTTCCTAACAATATCATGTGTGAATTATGTTGAAGTTATCTCCCTTAAAATTGATTGGTTTTTTTTTTTTTGGATAATAACTTTTTACATTTGTTATTACATGCATTATTTTATTATTGGAAAGAGGTTTTCAGCTTGGAACTCTTCATATAAAGGAGGTAATTTAAACAAAAGTGTCATTTGTTTTCAATAAAATTTTGGATTATAAATTTTTGTTACTAGTATCAGATGAAGTAAATTGGAAACTAATTGGCAGGGTAAAAAGTTAGGAATTATGGTTACAGACAATATATGGTCTTCAGTGAAGAAGGTAATGGGAGTTATCATTTGGAAAGATGAGAGAGATGAAAAATGGAGGCTGTCAGGGAAACCTACCTGGTCAGCATGGGTGTCCATTCAAACAACTCCTAATTTACACAAGTCATTATTTGACTCTAACTTTGACTTTGTTTAAAGTGGTCAACTTGTATGTTATTTTACAAGGCTGCTGTTGTCAGTGTTACATGACACACAATCATGTACAACATTTCTTTTTCAGTTGTCAATCGGAGATGAAATTTTCAATGAAATTTCTTAATTGATTTTCTATCAGTTCTGACAGGATGATGAGAGCCTGTAGGTGATGTTCAGCTAGATGAATAGGAATATTTATAAATATACTGTTAGACAATACAATTCCGCCAATGTGTTTCCTCTTCTAGCTACCCTATAGTTTACATGAAGAAAAGCTGGGGGCAAAATCCAAAAAGGCTTTCATGTTTTATGGAAATATTTATTTTTTCAAAAGATTATCACTCTCTCCAAAAATGCTTCATCTGCGACTGCTATGGATGATCAATGATATTAGGAATAAAAGTATATTTCTTCAGTACTAAGATCTGTGCCTTGTGTTTTTGTTGAACTTTGACCTTGGGTGATTTTGTACAAAGATTCTATAATCTTTTTATCAATACATTATGTAACTATCTTTTTCATTTTAACAATTTAACAAAAAATTATTTAGGAATATTTTCTTCAAGGTGGTTATGTCAATAGAATAAAAGATTTTAATGTGATGTTTTGATGACTATGCGGTCACCTTCATCAGACATAAGACCCATGTGAAGCGTACAACCAATGACACACGTATGAGAAATGGTAGGAACCTTTTTTGGATGTACTCGAGAAGCTAATCTTTTACTGGATGTGTAATAAGAACTTCCATTCTATAAACAAATAAAAAGCATTTTCTGAGTGTAAGAATACTGGATATAATTACGGGTGACCTACTGGTAAATCCCAAGGATTAGATCAGGCCCATCTCACAATGGTATCAACTACAATTACATGTATATTCTGAAAATCATGCTTGCCAACCCTCCAAATTTAGGAGGAACTCTCCTGATTTTGGACGTCTAGTTCTGCTGTTTTCCACAAACGAATTTGCTAAACAATTCTTATATTCTAAGACCTTAAGATTTCATTTGAATGAACAACTTGAAAGATGTAATTTACAAGCATAAAGACTGTACGGTATGTACATACATTTTATGTATGCTTCTGTTTTTGAGCTTGTAAAATTTATCCAGTGGAAATTAGAAAAATGTTGGTATGTGTAGAAAATAGACATTACCAACAACACATGTTTGGGTAGTATAAATGATGAATCTGGTTATATTAAATGGACAATATGACTTTAATCAATGGATTAAATGAAATTTAAGAAATAGTTGAAATGTGGATGGCTGGTGAAATCACAGTAGTGTGGGGCCAGTTACTGTTTCAGTCTTATCCTGACCATCTTGTACTGTGGTAATGGGATAGCAGTTGACAAATGTAAATGTGTAAAAGCCTAGGAATTACTCAACAGACAATGAGCTGACTACAACAAAGTTTGTTGACAAGAGAGATGAAGGAAACATTTGAGGAAACTTAATGGCTAATTAAATTAGGTTTAAAAAGTTCTTAGTTAAAAAAAGAGAGCTAAATGAGAGCTTTTCAAGTTAAATACTGAGATGGAAATGTGTCTTCATGAGGCTGCAAGTTATGTCAGTCAGAAGAGCATTGACTTTAGCAACCAGCAACCACGGGAGCAGATTCAAGGTGCAGGGTTGGACATTCCATTTCTCAAGGAGCTGAGAAACCGACCAGTTTTTGCTGTGGTCTTGTGAAAGACCCTTTATTGTAATTACTCTAGATGGCATATGACGGGCCTCTCCTATGTTGTTCAGTGTGGTAGCAATGGGCTTCAACAAGGAGACCCCACCTCAAAATGACCCGGACTGCTCTCAGGACAATCTTTACAATAGAATCTGTCTTGGTGAACAAGATGTACTCTGAAAGGTCGACAGTGATTTCCTGGACACAAAATGGATCTGTGCTGGGTCCTCTTTTGCTTTTAATATTTGAAGACAGTTTCTCAGAATCCATTCATTCTAATATGAACTCCTCTGAAAATGAAAAAAAGACAATTCAGATTTTGTATTATGCTCAGAAATAAAAACAAAAAATGATTTAAATTGAGAAATAAAGCAAAGATTTTTACTTAAGATGAAGATGAATCTGAAAGCTCTAAGGTTTACAAGCAAGTTCTATGTTCATCATAATCCTAACTTAATTCAAGCAACAATGGAGGGGTCTGTCACAGGAAAGAATACTGGAATTGTAAGTGATTAGGGGAGTATTATATGTCATAAATCCCTGATTTTATTAGGGGAGTATAATATCATAATCCCTGATTTGATTAGGGGAGTATAATATCATAATCCCTGATTTGGTTAGGGGAGTATAATATCATAATCCCTGATTTGATTAGGGGAGTATAATATCATAATCCCTGATTTTATTAGGGGAGTATAATATCATAATCCCTGATTTGATTAGGGGAGTATAATATCATAATCCCTGATTTGATTAGGGGAGTATAATATCATAATCCCTGATTTTATTAGGGGAGTATGATGTTATCGTAATCCCTGATTTTATTAGGGGAGTATGATATTATCATAATCCCTGATTTGATTAAGGGAGTATGATATTATCGTAATCCCTGATTTGATTAGGGGAGTATAATATTATCATAATCCCTGATTTTATTAGGGGAGTATAATATTATCATAATCCCTGATTTTATTAGGGGAGTATAATATCATAATCCCTGATTTTATTAGGGGAGTATAATATTATCATAATCCCTGATTTGATTAAGGGAGTATGATATTATCGTAATCCCTGATTTGATTAGGGGAGTATAATATTATCATAATCCCTGATTTGATTAGGGGAGTATAATATTATCATAATCCCTGATTTTATTAGGGGAGTATAATATCATAATCCCTGATTTTATTAGGGGAGTATAATATTATCATAATCCCTGATTTGATTAGGGGAGTATGATGTTATCGTAATCCCTGATTTTATTAGGGGAGTATGATGTTATCATAATCCCTGATTTTATTAGGGGAGTATAATATTATCATAATCCCTGATTTTATTAGGGGAGTATGATGTTATCGTAATCCCTGATTTTATTAGGGGAGTATAATATTATCATAATCCCTGATTTTATTAGGGGAGTATGATGTTATCGTAATCCCTGATTTTATTAGGGGAGTATAATATTATCATAATCCCTGATTTTATTAGGGGAGTATGATGTTATCGTAATCCCTGATTTTATTAGGGGAGTATGATGTTATAATAATCCCTGATTTTATTAGGGGAGTATGATGTTATCGTAATCCCTGATTTTATTAGGGGAGTATGATGTTATCGTAATCCCTGATTTTATTAGGGGAGTATGATGTTATCGTAATCCCTGATTTTATTAGGGGAGTATGATGTTATCGTAATCCCTGATTTTATTAGGGGAGTATGATGTTATCGTAATCCCTGATTTTATTAGGGGAGTATGATGTTATCGTAATCCCTGATTTTATTAGGGGAGTATGATGTTATCGTAATCCCTGATTTGATTAAGGGAGTATGATATTATCATAATCCCTGATTTTATTAGGGGAGTATAATATTATCATAATCCCTGATTTTATTAGGGGAGTATAATATCATAATCCCTGATTTTATTAGGGGAGTATAATATCATAATCCCTGATTTTATTAGGGGAGTATAATATTATCATAATCCCTGATTTTATTAGGGGAGTATGATGTTATCGAAATCCCTGATTTTATTAGGGGAGTATGATGTTATCATAATCCCTGATTTGGTTAGGGGAGTATAATATCATAATCCCTGATTTGATTAGGGGAGTATAATATTATCGTAATCCCTGATTTTATTAGGGGAGTATGATATTATCATAATCCCTGATTTGATTAGGGGAGTATAATATTATCATAATCCCTGATTTTATTAGGGGAGTATAATATCATAATCCCTTTTGATTGGGGGAGTATAATATCATAATCCCTGATTTGATTAGGGGAGTATAATATTATCATAATCCCTGATTTGGTTAGGGGAGTATAATATCATAATCCCTGATTTGATTAGGGGAGTATAATATTATCACAATCCCTGATTTGATTAGGGGAGTATAATATTATCATAATCCCTGATTTGGTTAGGGGAGTATGATATTATCGTAATCCCTGATTTGGTTAGGGGAGTATAATATTATCATAATCCCTGATTTGGTTAGGGGAGTATAATATCATAATCCCTGATTTGATTAGGGGAGTATAATGTTATCACAATCCCTGATTTGATTAGGGGAGTATAATATCATAATCCCTGATTTGGTTAGGGGAGTATAATATCATAATCCCTGATTTTATTAGGGGAGTATAATATCATAATCCCTGATTTTATTAGGGGAGTATAATATCATAATCCCTGATTTGGTTAGGGGAGTATAATATCATAATCCCTGATTTTATTAGGGGAGTATAATATCATAATCCCTGATTTGATTAGGGGAGTATAATATTATCATAATCCCTGATTTGGTTAGGGGAGTATAATATCATAATCCCTGATTTTATTAGGGGAGTATGATGCTATCATAATCCCTGATTTTATTAGGGGAGTATAATATCATAATCCCTGATTTGATTAGGGGAGTATGATATTATCATAATCCCTGATTTTATTAGGGGAGTATGATATTATCATAATCCCTGATTTTATTAGGGGAGTATGATATTATCGTAATCCCTGATTTGATTAGGGGAGTATAATATCATAATCCCTGATTTGATTAGGGGAGTATAATATTATCATAATCCCTGATTTGATTAGGGGAGTATAATATTATCATAATCCCTGATTTGATTAGGGAGTATGATATTATCATAATCCCTGATTTATTAGGGGAGATATTATCATAATCCCTGATTTGGTTAGGGGAGTATGATATTATCATAATCCCTGATTTGGTTAGGGGAGTATGATATTATCATAATCCCTGATTTGGTTAGGGGAGTATAATATCATAATCCCTGATTTGGTTAGGGGAGTATGATATTATCGTAATCCCTGATTTGATTAGGGGAGTATAATATCATAATCCCTGATTTGATTAGGGGAGTATAATATTATCATAATCCCTGATTTGATTAGGGGAGTATAATATTATCATAATCCCTGATTTGATTAGGGGAGTATGATATTATCATAATCCCTGATTTGGTTAGGGGAGTATGATATTATCGTAATCCCTGATTTGGTTAGGGGAGTATAATATCATAATCCCTGATTTGATTAGGGGAGTATAATATTATCATAATCCCTGATTTGATTAGGGGAGTATAATATTATCATAATCCCTGATTTGATTAGGGGAGTATGATATTATCATAATCCCTGATTTGGTTAGGGGAGTATGATATTATCACAATCCCTGATTTGATTAGGGGAGTATAATATCATAATCC